GGCCATACGACACACATATACATTGGCTACGACCAGTACATTACTCCCACCCCATGCCACAAACATTCATACATTGTACACATTACATAACATACGACAACACTATACATTTTTACACATTACATACTCCATGCACAACATATACATCTGTCAATCTGATTGTACCACATGCTCTCGCCCCCCACACTGGAATTTCGATAACCGAATCATACGAGCATGCGAAATATGAAATCAGAGTAATATAAATCAATCACTATAAATAATATTTATATGTACTGGATATGCATAATATACTCGCTCGCCACTCATGATCGAATGTCGTTACTATACATCGCGTGTGCTTGAATATGAATCATGGCGTGACGCGATCGCGAGGCCCTGCTTCCGCGGCAAGAAGTCCATCACGTACGAATCGCGCGGCTCGAATAGGAAACAGCACACGACCAACGATAACCACGACGACGACGGCAATAACAGATTGAACACTCAACAACACGATAACACAGAACATACAGAAAACCAACGACGACAACAATAATAATTAAAGAGCACAGACCTCCGCCAAGGCAGCGAATGATCATTCAATGTGAGAATTTTTTTATTAATTAATAAATTTAATTAAGTGGAAAAATTAATAATTAAATAATAGATGGGCGAGCCGGATTAGATGCGAGCGAGCAGGTGAGGGAGTACTGTCGGTTGGCGCCCCTTACGGCCTCGTGCGTGCGATGTCATGTAAGTGCTAGCAGCAGCGCCACCTAGCGCGAAGTGAACGTGAAGCGTGCATGGTAAACACACAAACCGAACACTCAAAAACTCGCTGGTTAAAACTACATAACCCCCGCCATCGCCCCTGGCGAGGCAGGCAACTAACAATTTGCCAACAACAACAACAACAACAACAAACCAACAAATATAAACAGCAACCACTCGTCATGAGGCGCGCGTGATCGCATCCGTAACTCTTGCGGCGGGCCTGGATGCGGCAACGAACCCCGCGGCACGCGCGCGCCCCCTTCTCCCTCTGTCCCCCTCCCCTCGTCATGTAGGCAGGCGGGCACACGCGGTGACGTGAGGTTACGACGGACGGCCAGAGCGGCGCCGGCTAACCACCGCGCGGCGCGCAAGACATCTCGCGCTTGACTGCCCCGTCTTTTATCGTCCTTGCACGCCGCCGCCCCCACTCTTTCGGCATTCTTACATCGTGGTCCCGCGGTGAGCCAGCCAGGTAGGCAGGTAGGCAGGCTATATTGCCGGCGGTTGACGTTGCCACGAGCACAGTGCTGGCTAAGCTTGCAGTCGCAGAGGTAGGCTCGGCTACAGAGAGATAGAGAGACACCAGAAACACGGAGCAGACAAAGAGCCGAGGAGGAAACCCGAGAGAGCGCTATACAGAGAGAGAGAGAGAGAACAGCAGAGAGAACGAAAGAGAGAGACAACGAAGAGAGAAGAGACAGAGAAAGAGATAATTATATATATATATTATATACTATATATATAGGAGAGAACGAGGAGAGAGAGAGAGAGCAGAGAGAGAGAATAGAGAGAGAGAGAGAGAGAGAGAGAGAGAGAGAGAGGCAAGCAGAGAACGATAGAGAGAGAGAGAGAGAGAAGAGAGCAGAGGAGAGAGAGAGAGAGAGAGAGGAGAGCACGAGAGGAGAGAGAGAGAGAGAGCAGAGAGAGAGATGAGAGAGAGCAGAGAAAGAGAGAGAGAGAGAGAGAGCGATGATCGCGAAGAGAGGAGCAGAGAGAGCAGAGAGAGAGAAGAGAGATGCATGAGAGAGAGAGCAGAGAGAGAGAGAGATAACGAGCGAGGAGAAATATATATGTTGTGTATATCTATGTAATGTGTACAATTTACAAATTACAATGTTGTTCGACTCTCAGTGAACGAAGTATGGGGATTAACGGGGATTATTGTACGAAGATAACGGCACGCGTTCAACGTATAAAGTATGAAAATGCAACGACGAACTTTATATCGTACGTCAATACTGTGTATTATATTATATAAGAATGCAATGTTTATCACATGTTTATATGTACATTGTACGAAAATGCAACATGTGGCGATACATATATGGATAATGGACCGTCAATGTAATGTTTATAGCATGTCAGTACGTATATTATATGGCAATGTAATGTTTATAGCATGTCAGTACGTATATTATATGGCAATGCAATGTTTATAGCATGTCAGCACGTATATTATATGGCAATGTAATGTTTATAGAATGTCAGTACGCAGATTATATGGCAATTTAATATTTACAGCATGTCAGTACGTATATTATATGACAAAGAAATGTTTATAGCATATCAGTACGTATAGTATATGGCAATGCAATGTGTATAGCATATATCAGTACGTATATAACATGACAATACAATGTTTATAACATGACAGTACGTATATTATATGGCAAGACAATGACCATGACGTTTGGACCCATGCCCTGGGCTAGTAACATCAGTGTAGGTGAGTATACAGTGAAAGGACAAGTTCTCCCCCTTCAAATACCGAGGACACCTACTGTAACACTATAACACCACCAACAATCTTAAACAGTTCCTTAGATCTATAGTACGTACTGGTTTTCTACAGTTTTTTTTACACGTACCGCTAGCGGGTGTTTATTAAAGCTAACAGTATTAGTTCTAGTGTTTAGCGCCTACAGTCAACAACTAGGTAAGCCCAGAAGATCTATACAAAATTTCGGATTTTTTTTCCGATTGGTCGCCACAAAAAGTTCTTTAGATGACGAATCTTCGGAATTAGCCTTCTGGGTGATCTCTTACCTGCCGGTTGACATATTGTGATGTCGTGTGCCTCTACGTGTGTGTGTCTGTGTGTGTGTGTGTGTGTGCGTTTACGTTCGTGTGGGGCGTGTGGTGGGCGATGTGTGTGTGTGTTGTGAGTGTGTGGTGTGTGTGTGTGTGTGGTGGTGTGTGTGTATGTGCATGTGAATGAGTGCGGTGCGTGTGTAGATGCTGGTGCGTATGTGTTGGCGTGTATGTACGTGATTTGACAGACAAACAAATTCCCGAATCAAGGTTGCTGTTGAGCTTTTCATTGAAATCAGGGAGGGGTGTTTATTGCCGCGTTTATCGTGGGGAAATGGACGACAACACACACACAACCACATCACACACACACACACACCACAACACACACACACACACAGCAACACACACACACACATAACACAGTAGCGCCGCGCGCACGCACCATACCCCCCCGCCCGCCACACACACATCAATATACCGCGCGCCGAGCAACACATACAACACAGGCACTCCTCACAGGTCACACCACACACACACACACCAACACACACAGCGCATACACAGCAACAAACTGACCCACATATACTATATATATAACACATACGCGCACGCCATGCACCAGCATACGCGGAACGCACGCACACTCACACGCAGGCCACCACAACACAGACACACACACGATCACACAGGGGCCATAGCACACACAATGGCACACGCACAGCAGACAAAAACACGGACATACATAATACGCGGCGCGGCGACGCGGCACACACACGCAGGGCCAGGCACGCATAACACAACACACATAGCGCGCTACGCCGCTCGGCCGACGGCAGGGAACGACAACACAACAACACAGCAAACAACGCTCTGAACAGCACAAGCTTTTCCCCCCCTAAAGGATCGTGGGGTAGCTCTACGCGCCAGCAGAAGCCGGCTAGCCTGCTGCCGCCTGTTGTGAGCTTCACGGCCGGCGGCTACATTCCTAAAGATCGCCATTAGCGAAAAAGGCAGCATTGCACTTATGGGCATCGCATACGCCCGCTTCTGACATTATGAGTGCAGGCGCTCGTGTTCCCAAAATAGCAACCATTGTGGAGCCACCCGGAACAGGGTGGAAGCATAGAGAAGACGGGACTTTCAATATTATTATCGGTCTCGGGCTTGTGTCGTGATATGTTTTGGATCAAGTGTATGAGTTGGGATTGCAGAACCTTTTATTTATTGATTCTATGATATATAGTATCATCGTGTAAGGTGTGCGTTACTTTGTGGCACGCACGCGCGCGCGCGTGTGTGTGTGCTGTGGCGCAGTCTTGATTGCAGCGTGTCTTGTGTGGGATATAGAGATAAAAACTGCGTCTGTGTGCGTGATTGTCGGTGGCGTGGGCGTGTCTCTGCTCTGTCCTCTTTCTCACTTTTTCTTTATCAGATTGGTAAGTCATACGGGCGCAACTATTTCTCTTTGACGGTGGTTGGTAAGCTTTCGCAACAATTCACATAATATATCGCATATTTTATAACAAACAACGTTTTCTATTCATCTTTTTTTGTGTGTGCTCATCGAAATGCTTTGCATGCGATGAATAATCAAAAAGATGTGGCCGATGAGATGGATGGGAAGCAGTAATACTGGCTACGGTGGCGTGATTTTGTTCGTAATAGACTGAGCCGCTTAGAGGCCGGCAAGTGCTCAGGCTCATGGCCACTGAATGACGACGCCGGACCGTGTCCCACACGAGAATTGGAGACAACCGCGGCTCCATCTAAAGGTCAGACCCTCCAAAAATCAGTCCCGCACGCGTTGCACGTGTGAGCCGCCGTGTCTGTAGGTGTGTCATTAATCTCACAGCCACCAGCAACAAATGTTACAAGGTCGCCGCTTCCTCTCTCGCGCCCAACGCTCCGAGGTAGAAAGAAACGTTAGAAAGAAATGTTAGAACCGTTGGGGTGCTAATGTGCAGGTTGTACGTAAAACGAAACGTGTATTCTGCGTGAATATCGTACAAAACTTTCGCCGGCTTAACTAACTCCAAGCTACCTGCCTGCGCTGACTTCGACACAGAGGCTGACGATGATACCGCTAATTAGACTACTCGGGAATTCCGCTCGTCACGCTGATGAGACTCCGATGATTATCTCGTAAAATCCCGGCCCGAATTATAGTAATGGCGTTTTGTAAGAATGATTGACTGATACGAAGTACAAGATGAATACACGGGGATCCTGTTACTACAAGGACGATTTTCTGGGTCCCCGCCACGCGGCGGGTATTTTTCATTTCTATATAACGACTTTGTACACGACCTTCATAATCTCATTGCCTTTTCTGCTTCAATGGTAAGGCTATATATAATATCCGGAACGCCGCTTAATATACGATATGTTTTCTTTGGCCTGTCGTTTGCGTACTAACGGGGTGCGAACTGTAGTAATAGAATAAGTAGTGAATTGAATGAGGAGTGTTAGGCTGGTGCAGTAATTGTATGTAATTTGTGAGCAGCAATTTAACGCTACGAAAGTTCTTAATTGTACCTATGAAACCATAATAAAAGTCCTTGTAAACAACTTGTAATGCCATAATTTTTCTTTGTTAATTGCGCGGGGCTCATTATGTTCAAGTGGTTAGATGGCGAAAGCCGCTTAATACAATTAATTTTTCTGTGTGGCCGGTCAGTTTTCTACTAACGGGTTTGACTGTAAGTAATGATCTTGGAACAATGTAGGCAAACACGGCTTCGCGAGTAAATGGTTTATGATCCTTGCCGCACGTAGTGTAGCGGAACGAATTGTTTTTTGCGGCCGTGTGTGGTGTGTGTGTGTGTTGCGTGCCGTGCGTGCGTGCGTGGCGTAGCGTGTGTGTGTTGTGTGCATGTGCGTGTGTCTGTCTGGCTGTGCTGCTCGATAATTTTTGGCAAGCGTTAAGAGGTAGAAACTTAAAACTTGGTCCAGAGTGTGGAACCGCTATTGATTTTGAGTGGCCTTTCACGGGCCCGAAGGATCAAACGGGTCACAGGTTTCTACAGTTTAAATGAATAGATAGATAGATAGATAAGATAGATAGATAGATTAGGATACGAGTAGATAGCAAATAGAGAGGATAGGAATAGAGTAGATGGATAGATAGGTAGAATAGATAGATAGAATAGATATAGTAGATTAGACTATAACAATGAGATAGATCAGCAAAAATGGATGAGATTGATAGATAGATATGCGCGCTGAAGTGCGTGCGGTAGGCAAGTGCGGGGAGGACTTGAATTTGGCCGACAGCCGCAGCGACGTGGTGACCTGGCAAATCCACTGCAAGGTTACGTGACAGACTACTGTATCCCTTAGCCGGTGGTTGTGTGTTTGTAAGTCTACAGCCAGCGCACCTAGCGGAAGTGAACTGAATCGTGCATGTTTTCCAGGAAGATTTTCCATTCGATTTTCTAAATATGTTTTTTTTAAACAATTAACCCAATAAATAACAAAATGCAGTGTTAGCATCGAACTTGATGCGTAGGAATAAAGCACGAAAAATTTCTATTATTATTATATAGATACTCTCAATGTTTTCCTAAAACGAAATATACGATTACTACATACAACGTAACGCGACCACGTCACATGAACCCACACCCTCGTTTCGTTTCCCCAGGAAGAAAACCAGATTGTTCGGGTTCCAAAGTCCCTATAAGTATATTTAGCAATGGTGTGCGTCCTCTCACGAAAACCGCGCCCGCATCTCCGCTCGGCCATCGACGATATGACGTGATATCTCGGTAATACGACGTGTGAGAAGATGTAGCGTCGAAATATGCACGAGAGCTAACACGGTCGCTTCCTCCCTCTGGAGGTGTGAGCAAAATACGCGCGCGCTCGTTGGAATCTAGACAACACTTCGGCTGCTAAAGTGTGGTTCGGTAATTGGATGAATCTCACGTGTGTTTCATCCACCACTCCCCCACCCCCGTTCCCATATTTACACCACACTACATTTCAAAACACTCACGATAACGAAGCTAATACAAACCTGACTGCCATAGTCGTACACACGCGCTTACGTCAAAGTTAGCGAACCGCAGGCATCTCGTCGCCATGGCAACCCTAACGGATGCCAAGTCGAGAATCCGAGGATCACGAACGATCTTTCAATGCTCGTTTGTCACTATCGAGAGGCGGAGACCAACAGGGGGCGTTGTCAAAGGGTAGAATCCAGCAGGGGGTGCTGTCGAGAGGGCAGGAACCGGTAAAGGGTGCTGTCTGCGGTCTGGGCAGCAGCCATCACAACATGCCCCTCGTTATGATGTGCTCCGGACGCTTGTTCAACGTGTCGAGGCCATCCTCGATCGACTTCGTCTGACACAACTCCACCAAACTCTGAAAGACATGCGGCAATACACCTATTAGTTTTCGATATTCATTTTGACACTCATTCCCAAAGTCTTCACCGACAATACCATCGGTAAACCCAGATCGGTAAACTCAAGTCTTGCCCATGACAGACAGAGGGGGGATGCGATTAAGGTTTTAAGGGAAATAATGTGCTAGTATCACCAGGCTGTATTGCCTTAATTAAGGTCTACTGTCGGGATTGGGCATAGCATTTCAAACACAAACACTCAATATCCTTAGTGACTCCTGGTGCACACGATCAAGGGTTTCAAAGTGACACCGTACAATGAGGGAGGGAGTCAGCAGTTTTAAACACAAATAGAAACACTATGCTATTCTATGCCGATTCGCCACCGAGCATTTACCTTGAATGTTCGTGGTTCGTATATGGCTAGACTAGAGAGAATGGGTCTGTTTAAGGCAATGTGACACTAGAAAGAGAAAATAGAAACATGTCAACAAGCGTCAAACAATCATGACCATGGTAAAAATATTCACTTTTTTATCAATTGTCCGATTAGATTCTCACAATGAAAAGTTTGCTGGCACACACAAAAATGCAATTTCAATGTTTTTTTTAATTAGAATACCAGTATTATCGGACAATGATTCACCACTGGTTATTATATTATATCAGGCAGTCCAAAGTAAATCATATCATGATTGAAAAACAATGTCTAATTTTTTGTCTATTGTTGTTTATCGGTACATTTTCGTTTACTGTTGTACAATTGTCTTTATTCAAACCTTACTATATCTATCCAGTATACACCTATATACTAAAAGATTACCGAAAATTAAAC